GAATATAATTTAATAATTTTGATTCTATTTTCTTCATTAATACTTTTAAATGGTTACTCATCACAGTTATATATATAATTGATTAGTAGTATTTCGAGCCAAAATGAGTCGAACACGAACGAACAAATATCTGTTTAAGTTGTTCATGCTCGGCTCGTTAACTTAGCGAACGAGCCAAGCACGAGTTGTTCGTGAACAACAAGCTGTTTTGACATCCCTGGTTGCAAGGAAGTTGGTTGTCTACTTGTTGCAGCTGTGTGAAAACAACTGTGGGACAGTTGTTGCTGGAAAAATGATCATTTAGCCCATGTTTAGTAAAACTGTTTAAAACAAAATTGTAATAGTCATATATTTGATACTTTAGAAGCATAAATTTGTTTCAAAACAGAACAAAATTTCATATACACAACTTAGTTTACAGCGAGTACTGAAAGTGCTAAAGGAAAAGGAAAAAAAAACTAATAAAATTACAAGTAAAATAATGATGATATTATTTTTTATGATATTATTTTTAACATGAAGACAGTGTATATATCATCCTAAAATATCCTTAGTGGAATCAAACTGACCGTAAGCCCATCGGAAGAAATCACACTTTTTTGTGAGGCTCCGCGGGCATTTTTAAAACCGTCGATCTTAGCTATGAGACTGACGTGACATCAGAAAGGAAGTCTCTAGTCCGCAATGGCATGCCAATATTCATGACGTTTCTAAAATTCTAAAGCTCATCTTTCCTGAAAGTAGCATAATATAATTCATTAATTAATTATTTTGAGTTGTAAACTATCTTAAAAAAGATGAAAACAAGTTAAAAAACATATCAAAACTAGCCAACACCAACTATGAGTGACAATTTTAAAGCATCATCGAGTGAAATTATACAACTACGCTGCAACTTACACTACTGTAATTAAATTGCGGATTTAAAAACAGATGTTCTTGCATCCTTATATCTGATAACTCAAAAAAAGAAATTTGTAAATCAATATTATAAAGGATAAAGTATATTAGACTGCAAATTAAAAATATATATATAATAATAAGTGCTCAAAATCTAACATGTGTGTTAAAAATGTTTTTTACATAGATAATAAATTACACGGTCTTTGAAATAATTTACAAATAGTACAATCACCCTCTGACTAACACATTAGTGATTTGTTTCTTAAGGGTCATCATTTCATTTACATATTCCCCTTCTTTCGTACAAATAATAAAATCATTCTTATTTTCTCGTGACAGAGAATGTCTGAGGTTGTACTCAAATGCTTCTGCAGGTACTTACTATTGATCATCTTCATCACAACAGTAGCTAATGTCGCTTTTAGACGAGTGTCGCCTAATATAATTGTGTTGTGTCATCGTGACTATCACAATCTAATCCTGTTTGAGAAATGGGTAAGACGACATGTCACGTAGTACCACTCATTTCTTATTTCAAACACCGAAAGTCCTCTTGATGACACCTCATAAGGAGGAATGTCTTTTGTTAAACACCTCTTTTTTGTCATGTGTAACATTGTTGCATTCTGATGCAGAGGCCAACAAAACCAAGTCAATAAAGAATCTCACTAAAAAAAAAAACCAACATTTGATTGCTCCATGAACGATTTTTTTTTAACACAACTCACCAAACAAAAAATCAAGCCACCAAAAGCATATAGCATTCACATCGATTCCCTACATCCAATCCATACAAGACATTCACATATATTCCAGTAAAAGAGATATTCGCATTCGCACAAAGGAGGAAGGTGACGAACAAAACTAAAGTCATAAATCAAAGCATTCATATATATTCTAGAAAAAGAGGAGGAAGATGACGAACCAACAAACGTGAGATGCGTCGGAGAAGAGGAAGGAGAGGAGAGAGGGGGAAGATCGCACATTTCTCACGCAAGCGCCGAAGGAGGAAGGAGGGGATTAGGGCAGAACAAAACAAAGCAGAGGCATGCGAATAAAAAGCCGAAGGGAAAAAGCGGGTCACGGGTTTGAACCTGTGGCTCGCGGGTACGCGATGTCGCGGGGCACCACGACCACCCCGCCGCGCTGTAGGTCCACCGCCGCCCCAAAAGGGGCCTTAGTAATGAACTAAAAAATCACGCAAATAGGACTATAAATATTTTTTTATTATTTCCACGCTTTACAATGCCTTAATTTTTTTTTGTTTGTAAATTTGCTTGTATACGCACCTTTGCTTACGCAAAATTTTTTGAAATTTGTGCAAGTGTTTTTAATTAATATTTTCATTATTCTAAAAAAACTTATAAATTCAAATATTATATCTAAAAGTGACGTCTCATTTAACAATGGATAACACAATAATCAAAATCATGAATTGCTAGAAAATGTATGATGCATCATTTGCTTTATGAATGAATTATGACATTGCCTGCACCTTTCATGATTACCTACTTTTACGGTGAGTTATTTGCATGCTTTTGTGATACAACACTTTTTTGGTACACAATTTCATCCATTTTTGCACGCAAACTTGTTGTATTCATCCCATTTAGGGTTTGTTTGGGGCAGATGCAGCTTCTCAGCTTTTTAGCTGTAGTTATGCTGCCCCAAGAAGTTGTTGCGAGGAAGCTGGTTAACTGCTTGTTGCAGTTGTGTGAAAACAATCGTGGGACAACTATTTCTGGAAAAATGATCTTTTTGTCCATGTTTAGTATAACTGTTTAAAACAGAACTGTGATTGTCACATATTTGATACTTCAGAAGTATAAATTTATTTCAAAATAGAACAAAAGTTCATATACACAACTCAGTTAACAGCGAGCACTAAAAGTGCTGAAGAAAAAAGAAAAATAATAATAAAATTACAAGTAACCTAATGATGATATTATTTTTAACATGAAGACGGTGCATGTATCGTCCTAAAATATCCTCAGTGGAATCGAACTGATCATAAGCCCATCATAAGATATCACACTTTTTGTGAGGCTCCGTGGGCATCTGTAAAATCGTCGACGGTAGTTATGGGGCCGACGTGACCTCAGAAAGGAAGTTTCTAATCCGCAATGGTGTGACAATATTTAGGACATCTCTAAAATTCTAAAGCTCATCTTTCCTGAAAGCAACATAATATAATCCATTAATCAATTATTTTGAGTTCTAAACTATCTTAAAGAAGATGAAAAGAAGCTAAAAAAAATCAAAACTAGCAAACACCAACTACGAGTGAAAATTTTAAAGCATCATCGAGTGAAATTATACAATTACGCTGCAATCTGCAATGCTGGAAACAAATTGCAGTCTTGCAGATTTAAAAACAGATGTTCTTGCATCCTTATATCTGATAACTCAAAAAAATAAATTTGCAAACCAATATTATAAAAGATAAAGTACATCAAACTGTAAATTAAAAGAAACATAACAATAAGTGCTCAAAATCTAACATGTGTGTTAAAAATGTTTTTTACATAGATAATAAATTACATAGTCTTTGGAATAATTTACAAATTACATAGTCTTTGGAATAATTTACAAATAATACAATCACCCTTTGACAAACGCGTTAGTAATTTGTTCCCTAAGGGTCATCATTTCATTTACACCTTCCCATTCTTTCATACAAATAATAAAATGATTATTATCATCTCGTGATAGAGAATGCCTGAGGTGATACTTGAATCCTTCTACAAGTACTTACTGTTGATCATCTTCTGCACAGTGGAAGTTAATGTTGCTTCGAGACAGATGCCGCCTAATATAATTGTGTTGCGTCATCATGACTATCAAAATCTGGACCTGTTTGAAAAACGAGTAAGACAACATATCACGTAGTATCACCCCTTTCTTATTCCAAAATCCGAAAGTCCTCTCGATGAAACCTCATACGGAGAAATGTCTTTTGTTAAACACCTTTTTTTTTGCCACGTGTAACATTACTGCATTCTGATGCAGAGACCAACAAAACCAAGCCAATATAGAGTCTCACTATATAAAAAAAAAATCCAACATTTGATTGTTGTCATTCCCAATCTATGAATGTTTTTTTTTTTTAACATAGCTCACCAAACAAGAAATCAAGCCACCTAAAACATATAGCATTCACATCGATTCCCTACATCAAATTCATACAAGACATTCACATATATTCCAGTAAAAGAGATATTCACATTCGCACAGAGGAGGAAAGTGACGAACCAAACCTAAATCATAAATCAAAGCATTCACATATATTCTAGTAACAGAGGAGGCAGATGACGAACCAACAAGCGTGAGATGCATCGGAGAAGAGGAAGAAGGGGAGGGACGCTCATTTCTTACGCAAGCGCCGAAGAAGGAATGAGGAGATTAGGACATAATCAAAACAAAACAAAGGCAGGCGAGTAAAAAACTGAATGGAAAAAGCGGGTCGCGGGTTCGAACTCGTGACCTGCTGTTACGCGATATCGCGGGGCACCACAACCGCCCCGCCGCCCCGCATCCCCCTCCTTACATTTCTTACGCAAGCGCCAAAGAAGGAATGAGGGGATTAGGACATAATCAAAACAAAACAAAGGCAGGCAAGTAAAAAACTGAATGGAAAAAGCGGGTCGCGGGTTCGAACTCGTGACCTGCTGTTACGCGATATCGCGGGGCACCACAACCGCCCCGCCGCCCCGCATCCCCATACTTTGTTTATGCAAGTTTTTTTTTTAAATTTATGCAAGTGTTTTTAATTAATGTTTTTTTACTTGAACACTTCATGAGATTTTTTTTTTTTCAATTTTTTGTGAGTTTGCATTTAAAATCACAAATTATCATTTTTGTCTCTTCATTATCAGTGTCAAAATTATTTCAATAAATCAATTTGATCGCATTAATATAGTTGTTTAGGGGTGTGAAGTAAATTCTTCTCAGAAATATGTCTCTCATTGAGCCAAAATGACAAGAGAATGAGTCGCACACTCTGGTACTTAGAGCCTCGATAAAAATTTGACCAGTAGTGTCACTCAATGTACAAATCTAACAAAAAAACTCTAAGGTAGTGTTTGGTTGCAAAATAAGATTTAGGTTAATAGTATTTATCAAATAAGCAGATTTCGATTAGTTCGCAATGAAGATGGAGTAATCGAGAACGACGACATAAATCTGTGTAATCTGCCTCGTACTCCTCATACTCAGATTTGTTATATCAGGATTTACACCACATAAGAGACAGACAAAATTGAGAGAATTGGATTCATCCGAGAGTTAGATTTGATTTGACTTTTTTTGATGTTTGATTAAATTTAGATCAAATCCAGAATTAAATCTATACATAAATAAATAACTAAACGGCTCCTAAATCTTAAATAAAAACATTAAATTTGAATTAAATTTTGATCCTTACACCTACCACTCCGACAAGCATTCAATGGATTTTAGGAGCTCCGATCCCCGCCATAAGCTCCGCGCGCTCTATGATCGCTTTGGGTGAAATTCCTTCATTTCCTAATCAGAGTCAAATCAAGAGGTTAGGTTTCGTCATCGCTGTCGTCTTCTCGTACAAGTATTTCCGATTCGCAGAGCTCCAGGCCGGAGAGAGGACAGACAAACCCAAGATGGATCTGATAAGGCCGCGCTTCGTTCTGTTCGGTGATTCAATCACAGAGCAATCTTTCAGGCCCGGTGGATGGGGTGCAGCCCTTGCTGACACTTATGCCAGAAAGGTTCTTTCCTTTTTTTCCACTACCAAGTTTTCTTCTTCTTCCTTGCTCCCAGCCTTACTCATTCAAAGTTTAGGAACAGTTTAAAAACCCCTTTAACTGAGAAAAAAACAGAGTTTTGCACAAAATTTTGTATCCTTGATACCCAATTGAGAAATAGAGCATACAGTCTCAAAGAGAATGAAGACGTAACTTGGACTGGGAATCAGATCTGTGGCAATCCTTAAAATAAGATTGGATGATGTTTTGTATCCAGTTTTGGTCATGTTAGGATTATAATGATGAATTTGCCGTTTATTGTTGAAGATGCTCCGCAATGGTTAGATCTTAGAGTTATTCTTAAACTTTTTGACATGGGGGTCCTTATCCACCAGCCCCCCCGACCCCCCCCCA